CACAACACAGGTTTGCTCATGTTTCAGGATCCTGTTGCTGCTGGAAAGCAACTGGGATCACCAAGGGCCGGCTCTGTACTACTGAAATGCTGACATCCTTCATCCCTGTCTTTGCAATTTGGTTCTTGTGGAGTTTGCATGACTCACTGAGCATCTCTGTGCCACCTTCTCCCCACAGATGTGGTACCTGCTGCTGCTCCTTCCCTTTGCGCTAATGGAAAACTGCATTATCAGTCTTAGGCCCTGCTAGTGATAAAATCTCATCACGAAATGTCAGATCTAATACTCCCCTCTGTCCCCATCCTTTCCTCAGCCCCTGGAAAATGTTAGTTGACAAGAGGATTTGGCAAATTGTTCTATTTGAAAAGATGGGGAGGAAAATATTTCTGATTTCTCAGTCCAGCCTGGCTTGCTGCCTTTTTTCCCCTGTCTTTTTGGGAGGCAGGGAGATTGACGAAGGGGATAGAGCAGGTAAGCTGAAAATTATTAGCTGTTTTGAAATTGCAATGTAACTGTGTTTTTGAAGGACCCAAACTGAAAGGAAGTATTTGTGAGTTATGAAACAAAATGTTTCAATTGTCCTAAGGCAGAGTCAGTTAAGTTTTTAATTTGCATCTCTGGAGTATTTCTAAGAATTACCATTATTTGTTAAGAATTAAGAAAATAGTCTAAGATTAAATACTAAAAATACCATCAAATTGCTCTACCTATACTGATTACTGGTTTTATTGGCATCAGTGGGAGCTTCCCGAGAGGCTGGTAGAGCTAGGGTTGGATCTTTGATGTGTTTGCTCCTGCTATTATTTACCGCTGGCTGGGAAACATGGGAAAAGATCAAGCAAGTGATATTAAAGCTGGCCCCAAATGCAGCCCATCTTTATCCTTAGCAGCAACCCCAAAACTGGGAAGAGAGGTTTTGCAAGACCTCTTTCTCTACTAAGCAGCAACTTTGTGGTTGCATGACTAGGTGGGTGATGTGGAAAGTGTTTTCCCAACAAGGGGGAGCGGCTAGCCATTGTGCTGAATTTCTGGAAAGAGGAAGGATGTCTTAAGCTAATTCTGACTTTCCTAGTTTCCTCTTGAGTCCTCAATTCCTCATAATTGTTCAACCACAGGCACTATCCCGATTGCCTAATGGCCTAATTCTTGTACCCAGTAGCATGCTCTGTTGATCCTTGAGCATAGTCCTACTCTGTACAGACCTAAATTATCCATTGTTTTTCCACATTCTACTTGATTTGTGAATTAAAGTGTAAAATACTAATATTACAACAGTAGGATTTTGTTGGAGTCTCAAAAGAAGATAACAAAAAAGGCATGGGTTGAGACAGTTGTTTTCTTGATTTTAGGACATAGAATAAGAAAAAACATAATTAACATGAGGGGTTTTTAAGCTAGCCTAGAGGTGAATAATAATTTAATAGCTTTTAAAAGATCTTAGATAGGTGTTTTGCTGGATCCTCTATCCCACATTGCCCTCTAGTGAGGACATTGCAGAGCAAATCATGCCTTCCTGCAGCCACCAGGATAAGAAATGTTGTATTTTAATAACGGAGCTTGTTTCTCAAGCCTTGTAACGGCTCATTTCTGATGTGGTGGTGTTGTGGTACAACAGTGCAAGGAGGGGCACAATTCATCTGTCACCTGTGCTGTCACCTGTACATGCACTGGCCACAGCTTTCTTGACATTTGCTTCATCTGAGCTATCTACCTCTGCAAGCATTTTCATCCTGCTGCTGGATCACCAGCCACATGTCCCCTGCTCTCTTCTTCTTTGGAAAAAGGGGAAAATATTCCCGGGGGACAGTTTGGTGAAGGATGATCTTCTTCTGTGTTCTTTGTCTTTTATTTACTCTTTTGTTCCGTGAACATACTCCAGTTCTGCGGTTTTGCCTCTGTGTATATATGGTCAGACAACCCTGCCTGTGGTTTGGAGATCATCACGGGACAAACTTCCATCCCTCTTTAACCCAACACTGGGGCATCCAAAAGTGTTGTGTAGAGGATTAGAACTGGCCACTGTCCTTCTGCCTGCATAGCTGTGTGACAAGACACATTGGTGCCACAAGACAATTTTGGTGTGTTCTCAGGTTTCTAGAGCTGTTAAGCACAGAAAGTCATCAACCAGTAATAGGTTTTTAAAACAAAACACAAAACCCCCAAACAAACAAACAAACAAACAAACAAACCACACAAAAAAGAAGGAAAACAAATACCTGCTGCTTCTAGAGTGCAGGTCGTTCAAGGTCTCACCTAAACCTGCCTTGTCGTGCCCAGAATTGGCCATTCCTGGAGTGTGGGTGCCCCAGATCAGCTATCCTAATGGCCACATAGTCCTTTTACTCACACACAGGTCCCATCAGGGCAGTGGCACAGCAGCTCAGCAGCCCCCTTGGTTCCTGTGGGAACCTGTTGCAGCCCAGTGTGCTTTGCTGCCTTCCCTTGGAGGGCCATCCCTGTGGATGGGAACCCTCAGGCAGCTCTGGGTGCTGGATACCAGGGTCTGCGCTGAGGATCTGGGTCTGGGAAAGAGCGAGATGCTCAGGTCTGCCTGAACTTTCCTTTCCCTTATACCTTCTAGGGCAGAGAAGTAAAAGCAAAGCAATGTCCGGAGTCCTGAAGTCCAAGGACTCTTCATCCAAAATATGGGCTCTGTTTGTCACTTCCCCAGCCTATATGTGTCTTCATGTGCTTGGCCATATTATGTGGAAATTCGTAACTAATCTTCAGCCAACAAAAATTAACCTGGTCTTTAATTGCTGGCTTGTTCATCAGAATAGTACCCATGGCCATCTCTGCTAGATGCTGTCTGTTTTAGCTCTTTGACTAAAAACTTAACAGTTTTAGAACAGTTCTAAAACCTGTGATTTCCTGCATGCAGACATAACCTGATTGGGCATGTGGCAAATACCTGGGTGATGACAGTGCCCTGTGGCCATTGCCATCCTCCCAGGGGCTCTGGGACCCCCAGGAACACCATCAGGCCAGGGGAGCCAGGGTGAGCAGCACTGTCACCCAGCCTGCTCCACGTGGCACTTGTGGGCTGAATGACAAACACTAATGCCATCTAGTGACCAAAGAAAAAGGTGACATGGATATTTTATAAAATGCCATTATAGCCCCAAGTGAGGCTGGCCTTGGGGGCTGCGAAGGAGGGAAATGGTGCTGGGTGTGCTGGGAAAAAAAAAACCACACCTTTTTCTCTTCTCTCCCCAGCTGTCTCTTCCTTCATTTCACATTCCATGAAGTGCTTCTGCATGTAACCAGGGACTGGGATCTCCCACACGAGGCTTTATAGGTACCCAAGGGAGCAAGGCACCGGCTTCCTAAGCAGCTCTGTTGCTCAAGGAGCACAAATTCCCCAGTTTACTGCTGGATCATGGGGCACAAACCCAACACCGCAGGACAAGGTGACTGCAGATGGGTGGTTCACTGGCGACATGGACAGCATGGGCAGAGACCCTGGGGACTAATTTAAGCTGGCAGCACGGCTGCCACACAGTGCCATTGCTGCAGCTTTGAGCTTGGCTGAAATAGGGCAGGGGATGGCAGCTCCTGCTGCTGCCGTGACAGCAGCAACTCCTTACTGTGGCTTATACAACCTGTCACTTTTTTTCCTCCCAGCACCTTTGTTTCCTTCTCTTGCTGGTGTAGGTGGTGAGAGCCATGAAGGCGTTAACACACTGGGTCTCTGTGTGATCAGCTGGCTGGAGGCACCGCTGCTTTGTACCTTGTTACTAATCCAGCCAGGTCCCAGTGCTGACAAATTGGAGGAATTAAGTTTGCACCCTGCATTTAAAAAATGAAGGTGCAGTTGTTTCTGACCATACCAGCTTATTCTGCTTGACTACACCATCACCAGCAGGTGTGGTTTGCCTTGTGTAGAGCTGGTGGTCTCCTGGGAATATTTTGCAGTTCTGGTAATTTCTCCAACTCCTAAGAAATGAACAGAGAGAGAACAGACAGAGCACAGAGAACTTGGGAATTAAAAGTTTCCCGATAAGGAAGTTGAGGGCTGAGATAGCTGCGATGAAGTGCATTATGGATGCACTGAGATGCCAAGCAGCACCCCCGGAGAGATTTGGAGAGAGATGTGGGATGTACCCCGAAGGAGAGTGAGAAAAGCACACAGATGCAAATAATCTCCTTCATGGGCCATTTCTGAAGTGCAGTGACACCTGGTGCCAGCACAGGCTGCCCCCCCTCACCAGGCACATGGATCCATCAGCACTATCTTGTTCCAGAGGGAACAAGCAGGTTCTTGCTTTGCACTGGCCAGACCTTGTCCCTGCTTCCTTCAGAAAGCCATTTACAAGGGTCCTTGAGGACTTTCTGTTGTTTTTCCTTAATGTTGTTGTTATCCCAAATGGGAAGGTATCAAATATGTTCTTATTGTCTAATTTACAAATGTTTTGTGTTATTTTTGCTGCTTCTGTTTCTGGATTATCCTTGTGTCCCCCTGCCTTTCTGCCCTGGATAATTGAGAGCTGGCAGAGTGCCTGTAACGTTCCTGTTTCAAGGCCAAAATGGGAGTGAGAATAAATGCTTCTAAATACTGTATTGAAACAAATAACTAATTTACTCATAATAGCTCTTCTTCTGGCATTACAGTGGTAATTTCATGCAGGTTTTGCAGGGGGAGTGAGCAGTTGTGAGAGGTTGGAAGAGCCATGTGCCTTGGGGAATATTTGCTGTGTGGATATAATGGCGAGAAGGGATTCATGGATTTGGAAAAGTACTCCTACTTCTGTAAAGGGACTTTATCCAGCCAGCTGTGACAATGCTTATTTCATAGATTTGCTGGCCCTAAAGTCTGAAAATTCTGCCTACTGGGAGTTTAGCTGGAGGAGGCAAAGGTGAAGACAAAGATTTCCCCATGGGGAGAAGGCAAGCATAGCCCTATCTATTTGGCATCCTGCATCTTTCAGGAGACAAGCAGAACAACTTGCAATGAATAACCAGTGCCTAGTACTAATTTTGTCTTTTCTCTCTCCTTGTAGGGATCCTGTTTACGATGCTGGTATTTGGACCAGCCTGTGGATTTATCTTGGGCTCCTTCTGTACCAAAATCTATGTGGATGCTGTCTTCATTGACACAAGTAAGGAGAAATGGGTTTGATTTCAAATCAAATACACTAAAGTTGTACCAGCAGGATGTTGATGCTCACAAGCAGGAAACTGCCTGTTTCGTCTTGAGTACCTCCTGCATGTATGGGTGTCACTTTTAGAGGGGTTTTATGACTGGGATTCAAAAGTTTTCAGCTCTGTTCTGGTAAACAGATTTGCAGTCATTAAAAATTGTTCTCTTCCTTTGGTTTTTCTACTGTGAGATGAGTTTCACCCAGCTCTTAGAGGACACCTTGAAATATCACTGTGGCAGGGCAGACAGCTACCCATGCACATAGTCATGCCAGGGGAGCTGTGTCCAGAGCACAGGATGAAATCTGGACAGCTGTCACCCCAGGATCTGGGGGAACCATCCAGGTTCTTGTGGAAGTACCACCAGTAAGACCCATTGCCCAGAACCTTCTGCCAATGACACTGCTTCAGCCCCACAGCATTATTCCTTTTTCCTAAAACTGTGCTAGTTATTGCTCACCTTGACTGCACTTGGATAAATCAGATTGTTTGTTAATTGATTTTTTGTTCGTTAAGACAAAAATCTGCATATTCTGCTCTTACTCGTACCTGCACTGTGTGTTCTTTGCCATGAGAGGGCAATATGTAACAGGCAGTTCTCTACTGCTCCCTCAGCCCTCTGGCTGCAAGCTCGATGCTTTTCTTTTCCCTCAGTTATTCAGATGTTTTTTCCATAGCTCCATCGAATCCTCCAGACGCTTTTGCATGGGTATTGTCCTCTTTGAGGTTGCATTTCAGCTCTGTGATGTTGCAAATACATCATCACAGGACTCAGAACAGAATTGTGCAAATCTGGGAAAGAGCTACTGCCTTTTCTTGGTCTCACATAGACACGGCAGCTGAAGAAATATAAATAATATCAAATGAAAAACAAGTATCTTCTTTTGATGGCTGAGACTTTTGGCTGCAGTTTGATTTAAACACCGCCTGACCCCTTTTCATTCCTTGGCTTTACCAAAGCCTCTTTTGGTTCTGTAGGCAGAGAAACTTGTTTGAACCCTGTTAGATATTTGTCCATTAAGTATAATTTACACTATAATATGAATGTAGAGAAGAAACTATTTCCTCTCCCAGGAGGTGAAGTTGTGGAACTCCTCACCATGAAGTATTAAAAATTGACAAATGGATTCAAAAACAATGGGGCAAGTTTATAGAAGAAAAAATGAACATGACAAAATCTAGCTTATAAAGCCCCCAAGCCACAAATCACAAGAATAATATCAGGTATATGCTGACTTTATTCTTGTGGTCGTTCTGGGCAGCTGCAGCTGGTTACCATCAGAGCAAGATGCTGGCCTAGCTAAAAAGTTAATTTGATGTCTTCTGGTCATTTTTAATATGAGACGTTGCTCCATATTCACACCTCCAAAAGCCCCAGACAAATATGGAGCCGCAGAGGAGAGTAGTGGAGTGTTTATCACTGAGAACACAAAGGGGCTGTGGCTCAGCCACCTACAGGGTGGTTGTAGTGCTTCCCAGCTGCAGGCCCAGCTGGCTTTTGCCATGGTCCATTGCTGTCCTGCAAAGGCTGGGACACACATAGCCTCTGTCTGGTTTTGTGTGGGAACTTCCACGCTGCAGCTGGCTCTGCTTTGCAGCTCAAGGTGGCATGAGGAGACCAAGCTCCAGGCGGTTGAGCCTTGTCCTGCTCCCTGTTTTGGGCAGGTGTGGGATGCCAGGGCATGCTGTTGCACTGGCCTCCATGCAGGAGCTATTTTAGGAAGGGAATATGAAGAGCATCTTGATTTACCTGGCTCTTCACAGTGCTGTGTTCCCAAGATCCTGAAAAAAATGCACTTCAGGCAGGAGAAAATAGTAGCAGAAGAATCCAGCCCCTCCACAACACTATTTTTCAAACTTTATCTGTATTTGAGAGCTACGTGTTATTTTCCCTTAGGAGAAAAGAGTTTCCTTCTGTCTCTGCTTGAGAGACAACTTGATTGCCTCACTTGAGACAGATTTTTCAGAGTGGCAGTAACCAGACAGACATCATGAACAGAGGAGCTTGTTATTCCAGCCACGTAGACCTAGGTCTCCCCCAGGAGTCAGCTCAGCACTGGGCACCCTTTGGCTGTGGCAGCAAGGCAGCTGTTGGGAACACAGCTTTTCGTGTCCTGCTGTTTATTTTTATTCCCCTAAACTGACTCCAGACCCTTCTTTTGCCTTATCACTGCTGAGTGATGGTCTGCAGGATACTTTTGCCTTTCACTTTGCTTTTCTTCATTTTCTGATTATTTCTCTACATTCCTGAGCCCATTTGATGCAGCGTGAGTTTCTTTTTCAATATTTAGGATTGTTTCACCCTCCACAGGTGCCCCTAAAGCCCACTGAAATGCCCATCTGTCTTTTGCTGAATATTCAAAGCTGGGAGAGCACTGACTTCCTAGGAAAAAGGAGTAAAACAGGGTGGAGATGCAACATCATTGTCTGCACTACTGGTTCTCTTTGCAGATCAGTAGGTGTGTCAGCTGTGTGTGCACAGGGGGACAGGCTGGAACAGGGATGTCCAAAACCTTGATGCCAGCACAGGGGACACTGACAGGAATATGGCAGCTTTCTAGAGCTGGCAGAGCCAAGACACTGGAGAGAAGCCCTTGGTTTCGGGGTGTTGCAGAAGCTGGATGTACTATCCAGGCAGAGAAGGTGATGGGAGCTTGTCCTACGGATCTCTTGGACCTGGAGGTCCTTACGCAGTGGTGGCTCACACAGTACAGGTGTGGGGTGGACTGCAGGCCCCCACCTTGCGCCTTGCATCCCTTATCAGCCAACAAAGCCCCCAGCAACCGTCCCCCTACAGGATCATCACGCTGTTGTCTTCCCCTCCCCATGTGTGCCCTCGTAGGTAAGCTGGACATAACCCCGGACGACCCTCGGTGGATCGGTGCGTGGTGGGGAGGCTTCCTGCTGTGTGGTGCCTTACTCTTCTTCTCGTCCCTGCCGATGTTCGGGTTCCCGCAGTCGCTGCCCCCGCGGCCGGAGCACGCCGGGGAGAGCGAGCAGGCCATGCTTCCCGAGCGGGAATACGAGAGGCCCAAGCCGAGCAACGGGGTCCTGCGGCACCCGCTGGATGGGGAGAGCAGCACGACCTGCTTCCAGCAGCTGCGAGGTGAGGCGCCGGCTCTCGTCGTGTTTTCCGTGGGGACCACCAGCAGGTTAACAGCTGGTTGGATTTATAATTGGCCTCTGATTCGGGCTGTCTACCTCTATCCCCGAAATTCCAAAAAAAAAAAAAAATTTACTATCCTAAAATTTCAGTCCCTAGCTTCTAATTGTCTCTGGCATTGTCCTCATTTGAAAGAGAGACTTTGTTCCACTTTAAAGCTTTGTGGGTTTTTTTGGTTTTTTTTTTAACTGCAAAGCTTCAGAAATGCACGATAGTCCTGTAGAGTTGATAAAAAATTGAAGGGGAATACAGTTGCCAGAGCAATTTGTGAGCTTCTCTCCAGTCTACTGTCCTGCTCCCCTCTGCCTCCCGAAGTGGAGACCAAGCTGGCAAGGGCAATAAAAAGAAACTGGGAGCTCCCAGCATCTGAGCTGCAGATTAGTGCAATCCCAGATACAAAGCAATCAGTCCTGGGCATCACCACAGCTCTTAAACTGGGGTGGGGAAGAGGTAGATATCAGCCCAGAATAGCAGCAGTATGACAGGGCAGAGCATCACTTGTGGCAAATTAGAGAGAAAATCCCACATCATGTCCTGCAGTGATGGAAATGGAGCTGACTCTAATTAAAGTCAGCTGAGGATCCAGCATTTCGTGGGAGAGTGTGGGCAGATCTCCTTTCTGTAGGCTGCACTAGAAAATCCTTCATCTGAGAGGGTGGTTCTGTAGCGCTGGTGGCTGCTTCCCACTCCCTGTCGCTGTGGCAGAGCGGGTTTCATTACTGCCTGATGTATTTAGATAAATGAGGACAAAATCACTTACTTCCCTTGCAGTTGCCTTAATTGGGAGTTGAATGATATACAGGGGGGAAGGACGAAGAGGCTTTGGGGGAAAAAGTATTTTCTAAACATAAAAATGCCTTGAATAGTTGATGTGGTTGTTCAAAGGTCAAAGATGTGAAATTCTGACTTGATGAGAAAATTCAAAAGAAAGGTAAAGGGATAAATTGTTTGAAACTTTGTCAGTAAAATGAATTTCTTCATCCTTTCAAGGATTTTCTCTGTTTTGAGGAATGGGCTTTTCCCATGGTATGTCCATCTGGATAATGCTGTGGCTCTTGTTGTGTGCACACCAAGGTGTCTGCTTCTAACCACTGAGTTTTTGGAGTGGGCACTGGAAATTTTTTCAGGTTTTCATGTAGAAAAAGGAAAGTATGACATATCCCTGCTGCGTGGAAGGACAGCAGTTCAGCCTAAGGATGGTGCTGAGCATCTTGCACACAGGGAGGCCGTGGGGGGGTTCATTGAGCATCTGTTGCTCATTGAAGTAGAGAAATTAAGCTGCCACTTCCATATGCTTCAAGTATTGATTACATCAGGAGGCACCACAGTCTTCCACATTAGTACTCTCATTGCAGGTAACCCCATTTTGGATCTGCCAGTATTTCGGGAGTCTCTTTGTAGATGGACTTTGAAATATAATTTATATCACATCAAATAAGACAAGGAATGACCTTTTTAGTTATTCCTTTGAGGCTGTCACAGATGACACGATGTTGGTAGCTGACACCTCCTTTCAAGTCCCTTGCCACTATTGTCACAGTTGGAATGTGGTCAAGAGTCGTGTTGCTAAAGTGCCTGCCTGGAAATGTTCAGACACGTTCCACAAGGGAAGGCAAACACCCCTCATCATTCCTGATGAACAGTTTTTCAGGTGATGGTTTAATCTTTCTGTGGATGTACATTATTTTGCTAGCACCTGAAATACCTGTATGCGTTCCTGTGTGGTGGGACCTGATATCCTTAATTTATTTGTCAATTGCACGTATTTTCCTTTGGGGAAAGTTAGACTGTTTAGTCTTTATCCTAGGATAAGAAGGACTCTTAATTATATACAGAGATTAAAAATATATATGTGCATGCATAGTCATGTCTTCTGTCCTAATATGGGCCTTGGGCTTTACATGAATTTGGGATGCTGAACAGAATCATGGAATCGTAGAATGACATGAGTAGGAAGGGACCTTAAAGATCATCCAGTTCCAACCCCACTGCCATGGGCAGGGGCACCTTTCACTAGACCAAGTTGCTCAGAGATACATCCAACCTGGCCTTGAACATTTCCAGGGATGGGACATCCAGAGCTTCTCGGGGCAACAGCAGGGAATTTACCTGTGCGTGGATTTGGGGGTGGAGATGCACGTTGGGGTTTGTATGGCCATAACTGACTTCATTTCTAGCAAGCATTGTGTCTGTAGCTTGTCCTGGGTGGGGCTGTGCCTGCTGTAAGTCTGTGTCTGCATGGAGATGTGGATTGTCCATCTCTTGGGCGAGTGTGGGGAGGAAGAGTTGTTTCTCTGGACTGATTGTGTGAATACCCCTTGTATCAACAACGCATCCTTAGAGGCTGAACTGCATCTCCTTTTTGGCTATTGAAGGGGTTTTATTGCTCTTTGCTATATTTTTTCCAAGCCTTGCAGTGACTGCCACAAGAGGGAGGACATGGTAAGAGAGGGAGCAGGGCGGTGTCAGCTGGGGACATGCTCCAAGCCGGGTCACGGCTGTCAGCCAGCGACACGGCACGGCTGGCATGTGGGAGGATGCTCGAGACACTACAAGATCTGCTGAAAGTCAGTGAGATGCAGGGCTGGCTGAGATTCCTTGGCTTTCCTTTTCCTAGCCTTAGCAGGCAGAAAAATCCAGGACTATTATAAAAAGAACTCTTCTCAAAATATCGATCTTTTACATCTCTGTCAAGGTCTAAGCAGGAGGGAGGGCCCAGCTTTGGGGGAGCCATGGCATCTCTTCCTGTGGGGTATTTTCATGCCAGGGAAAGCAGCATCCTTAAGAGGATCTTCAAACTTGAAAGAAAAGCAATTCCTTTGAAAGGCACGAGGTGAAGAGGCAATCAAAGGCAGTGGAGGCAGCGGGGGGCTGCCATGGCTGCTCTGCACAGGGGCACTGCAACTCAGGCAAGAAAGCTTTGGGACAGTCCTGGGAGCTGCTTCCTGTTGCTAAATTGGCATGTGAATGCTGCACTGCTTTGCCTGACTAGTATTTCACTTAAGCAAAGCAAATCCATTTGGGAGCTCAGAGAAGTGAAGGATTAATAGCAGGGAAAGGATGGATAAATGCTGCCATTGCTCTCTCTCTTGCCTGGCAGCCTGGAAGGGTTGTTCCAGCCCTGGACTCTTTGTATGGTCTATGAAAGCACTTCAGGCATGGGCTCTGGTAGTCCTTGCTCTCCTGGGGGCCACAGCTTTGCTTTCCTACCTCTGGTTTGCCTTGGGGACCTCTCTGCTGTTTGGGGTCAGAGATGATGCTTGATGTCAGGGCACCAGTGCCCTCTGCTTGTGTCTGTCCAGTATCTGCCCTCTCACTCGGTGTTAACACGCTGCCTCTAACCCACCACCTGCTCTACAACGTGCTTGGAAATATTTTGTTAAAATTCTTTTTTTTCATACAGGAATGTCACATCTACTGAATTGAGCGGTCAGTTCTGATGACATTTGATTTCAGAATGCGTCCTTGGCTTGATCTTTAACAACCCTGAAACGTTCTACTCTAAATATATTTTGGTGTGCAATTATTTAAATCAGAAATTTGTTACATTCTGCCTGTCTGTCTAGCGAGAGAGATTAAAACCCTAAAAGGATTGAAATTGATATGGAATACTTCAGGTTTCAAGAGAGAAGCTCATTCACAAGGAATTAAAAGAAAGCTCACTGTGGAATTAAATGCATTTCAAAACTGCAAGTTCCCTAGATTTGGAAACATTTTGGTTTTTCTTCAACTTCGTTTTCAAGAGCATAGGAGAGCTGGGATGTACAGCTGACAGCTGTCTTGTCTTCTGTTCAGTTCCTTCCTGCTCTGTGTTCCAATCTGCTGAATACCTAGGGAGGGAGCTGCTCTGAATCCAGGATTTCTCTCTCAAAAAGTGCTGTCTGGGAGCAGACATGTAGTGCTGGGCCAGAGGCTCCCAGATGTGCAGGGAGGGTCTGGGCCATGGAGAGCCTGTTGTACTCTGGGAGAGTTCATAGGACTGGGTGGGATAAAGGGTAACAGGACCAGTTTCAACTTGTGATTCTAATGAGTGATAGTGGCAACCTTTTGGAGAGGGCTCCCTCTGTGCCTTCATTCAGTGATGAGTCTTTGGCCCAGATCTAGGCAGGTACCAAGATTTTAATGCCTTCTTGGATTTGGGTTTTGTCCCTCTACCAACATGTAAAAACCTTGCTGAGAAATCCAAGTCTTAGGTGAGAGGGCGGTGGGTGATCATAAAACACATCAGGTCCCATCAGTCTCCAAGTTTCCTTTGGCTTGCTTTTCCTGAGGGTATGGGCATTGTTGTCCAGTTCTTCTGGGCTGTTTCCAAGCCGTTGTCCTTGTTTTCAGCACCTTTGATTAAATCAGAAAGGCCTTCAGCCTGCACACCTTGGGACGAAAGCTGAGCAGCAGCCAAAGTCAGGCAGAGCGTGTCTCTGAAAAGATACTGTGTCTTGCCATGACCTGTGTGTCACAGGTGAGGCAGGTTCATGTCCTCCTCTGAAGTCGAGCAGAGGTGGTTGCTGGAGGCAGGTTGATGGACTAGAAGGATCTGCTTCCTTACTGCTGCTTCAAGCTTGCGTCTTGTCAGGAAGACTTTTTGGCATAGGTGTCATCCTTTTCCTCCATATCCTTCATTATAACAATTTTGTCTAAGCCACGTGGACTTCAGCATATTAAACTGGCCTGAGATATCTTCAGCACCTCTTGCCTTACTCCATCTTCTCTTCTCCAGGAGCTACCTCTTTCCGGAACGTATTTTCTTCTTACTGCCTATGCTATTTGCTTCATCCCTTTTCCTCAGGTCTCAAGGTGGAGATTTTGTCTTTTGTTTTGTATTCAGACCTGAGGCTTGCTGCTGACACTGGTAGTAGAAAGTTGTATTTGGGCTCAATGCTACATTTTGCCATTCTGTCACCGCACTGTCCTATGTGGACTGGGCTGTAAACCTCTCTCTAATTTATTACTTTGCTTTCTGTGTTCCTCATCTTTACTGCAAATTGAAAACACGTCTCTGTAGGGTGCTCCAACCAGAAACAGGGGCCTTGGTGATTGTAATGTTCCAAACAATTCATTTCAAGCACCAACGTGATGATTACAGTTTGTCGTTTCTGGAGAGTAGTTAAACCTCATGTAATGAGGTTGCCAATTATCCCCGGTGCTCCCCGATGTGCAGTGACAAATCAGAGCTACTTGGTGCACATAAGTGTGTGTGTTTGTCAAGCCCGTGGCCTGTCACCCACAGCAGCCCCACTGTGGGAGGCAGGGAGGATGCTTGATGCCTTGGCATGGGTGTTGAGTGTTAACAGGTGGGAAGTCAAGGGATTGGTGGGGGTGTTGCAGAGCTTTGGGACATCTGCCTGGGTCTCTTGCAATCTGTGGATGATCCTGTGACTGATGCTGCATATGAATGGTCTGAAGAGTTGGGTTTGAAGTGCTTCAGCAGTAAAAAGAGGTGTCACGTTCTTTTCAGTGTATCTTGCCAGGCCAGTAAGAATTGCTTTTCTGCTGTCATTTCTGGAGCGGATCAGGTGCATTAAGATAAGGATGTTAAATGAGCTGGTTCTTCCGAGAGTGGAAGGGTGAGTCTGGCACAGCTTGTGGGTTCTCCAGGTCGATTTTTGAGACTCTTTTGACTCCAAAAGACTGTTCCCTTCCCCCATTTGGCAGATGTACTTCAAACGTTTATCATGACTTCTGCTGGGATTGGCTCCAGTGGGGAAGTGACATCCTTAGCTGTTGTGTTCCCCAGGGCTCCACTGTCCCCCATCAGACATTTGTCTATTCCCCCTCTATACCCAGCACCATATGCCAGGCAGCTGAAAGCATGTCACTCTAGTCTATTGAGAGATTTTTAAACTTCACTGCTGATTTTTGATCTTGTTCCCAGAGGTATTTCACCCCAAGAACTGAGACAGATAAGGCAGCAGCAGGTGTCAAATGATTGATCTTAACAAATGACAGCAGCAAGATGAAAGTATATTCATTTCTATGGGGAGCCTCCTGTCATTTCCCTTAGAAGATGAAAGGGAATGAGCTGACCCTGGCTGAGGAGATGGTGGAGGCTGCCAGGCATTGCTTGAGTTGTCTGTGCACTGAGTTTTGTGTTACACCTACCTGCTGGTAAGAGATCTGTTGCAGTAGACAGTGGTCAAATAGGCAGTGGAAGACAGATTCTGTCCTAGAAAACTCACAGGGAGGAGATGCAATGATCATGGAATCACAGAATCACAGAATGTTTTGGGTTGGAAGAGACCTTAAAGGTCATCTCGTTCCAGCCCCTACCCCATGGGCAGGGATACCTTCAACTAGACCAAGTTGCTCAAAACTGTGTCCCACCTGGCCTTGAAGACTTCCAGAGGCATCCACAGTTTTTTTGGTAACCTGTTCCAGTGTCTCACCACCCTCACAGTAAAGAATTTCTTCCTTATATCTAATCAAATTCCTCCCTCTTTCACTTCAAAGCCATTACTCCTTGTCCTATCACTATCTGCCCTTGTCATAAGTCCCTCTCCAGCTCTCTTGTAGCCCCTTTAGGTGATGAAGTGATGTGACTCGTAGCCCAGCACTGCCAGGCAAGGCAGTCACAAGGGGATCCTCTCTTGTGTGAGACGGTGCAATAACTCTGCAAAATTTTTGCTGTCCGCCCCAAGCACAGAAGATGGATTTTGACCTTGGTGGTGCATGATGGCTGGGTACCAGCCTTGCCAACTTCAGAAATAAATGTGCATGATCTTTAACTCCCTCTTGCAAAAGTCAGGCTGTCATCACTATTATTTGGTGGATGAAGTTAGAAGTAGACCTTTGTGTCTTTGGAGTTGAATTGGCACAAAGCTACATCTTGAGGAATCCATTAATCTTGGACAAACTGAACTCCAGAGGCACAACAGGCATTAATACCTTAAATATGGCTTTTCAAGCTCAGCACTGCCAAGTCCCCCTTTGCATTTTCTATCTTTTTCCTGGCAAGAAGGGGAAATTCTGTAGGTGGCCACCAAAGAACTGAAGGAGGCAGCAGGTGGCTTCTGAAATTTATCCATGCCTGAATTCCCCCACCCTCATTCCTCCCACACAGTATTTTTTCCTTTTTTTCCTCCCCCTACTCCACCCTGTTCTACTAAAAATTACTTTGCCTCTTGCACCTTCATTATGTTCAGCAAATCCTCATGAAACAAGAATTTTATACAGTATGGAAAAACATTTGTGATATAAAGAGACCTGAAACTGTGGAGTGGCCCCTTCCAAAAAGGTTAGATTTAATCTAATTATAACAATTTTCCCCCTCTCCTCAAGAAAGAACCAAGGGCACCCAAGCAGAGCCTTGACAACGAGCTGTGCATTGACTTGCTGAGGCCAGTGCAAAAAAAAGCCCTAAGAAAACAGAAGCCAACACTAGGGAAATGTCATCTGCCAGACCCTGGTACACCATAGGGGATGTGGGGGATGGATTTTCAAAATGCAAATAGGGGTCCGTTGAGGCTTCACTACACTTCAGCAAGGTAATTTTCAAACTTAATGATTTTCACATTTAATTCAGGGAGAAATTAGTCATCAGGTATTGAGACAAAGCAAGGCTCTCTTCTGTACTGGGATCCTCTCCTCTTCAAGCTGTGTTATCTCGACAATAATTAAAATGTTCGCTGAAGTAGAAAATGTGCGATCTGATTCATTAGCCTGATTTCCCTTTGTAAGGTAACTCCTGTTTGCTTATCAGAAACTGAGACAGGCTTGGAGGAGAGAGGACTCTGGACGCTAATGATTTGGGAGGGGGTAGCCAAGGGATCATGAAACCAAAGCCATGTGTGTGTTCATCCTACACAGTGAACAGCTCAGCATGTCCTCTTCCCTCTCAGGTGTCCTTCTTGGGGCTGTCCTGTGCAGGGCCAGGAGCTGGACTTCAGTGATCCTTGTGGGTCCCCTGCAACTCAGGATATTCCACGATAACAACAGGTTACTTCTTTTTTCGCCATTTTGATATCTGAATCTTTAGATGGCACTGTTTGGGCGTTTCCTTTTGTTCTGGTGTTGCCACATTTCAACCAGCTTGTCTGTGCAGGCAGTAAATGACTCCTGATTTGAAGTGAGTTTCCCCTTCAGGAGAGCTGAAAGGCACCTCCAGCACCTCGAGTAAAGTCTGCACAAACACACCTCTCCCTTTTTCCTCTCTTCTAGTGATCCCCAAAGTAACTAAGCACTTGCTCTCCAATCCCGTCTTCACCTGTATCATCCTGGCAGCCTGCATGGAGATCGCGGTGGTGGCCGGATTCGCCGCCTTCCTTGGAAAGTACTTGGAGCAGCAGTTCAACCTCACCACCTCATCTGCCAACCAGCTCCTGGGTGAGTAACCACAGGGGCCACCAAATCTCCAGCATCCAAAGGTATTTAAAAGTGTTCAGCATGGTAACTGCACCCAGTTTCACTGGCTAGGCTGCCCATAAAGTGACTCGTCTGACATCTAGAAATGTGTCCGTGAGCGGGAGGGGTGGGATCCAGCTGTGCCGTGGCTGCAGTGCACACAGGAAACCTCCAGAATCCTTCCTTCTTGACTGCGCTCTCCACTGCATCTTGCTGCCATCACTTCCCCTGTAGCCATGCCCATGGTGTCGGAAGTGGTCTGGGACATCCAGGATATGAAAGTCTGTGATAGCCTTAAATGCAGCAGAATTGGGCCATTTGGTTGCCCAAGGCTGCAGTGGCTCTCTAAGTGAGCAGCCCATTGAGCTGCTTTTTCAAGTTCCCCAGAGTTCTCCATTCCACATCCATTTGGGTTAGGAAGCCCAGTTTCTCCTGTTGGTCACTCCTTTCTCCTTGGCCTGGAGGTGATGGGATTGCCATCAGCAGCTAAAGTATCTGAGCTAGTGCAGCTTGGTTGTCTTTCAAATGCCCCTTCTCTCTGACCATTCCATGCTGCTGTAGTTTCCCATTTATATATTTCTCAGTGTTCATTTGTTCCCTGTCAGGACACTGATGGCAGAATCTTCATTTGTTTGCTGCTGCTGCTGCTCATTCCCAAGGAGGCCCAGCCATTTGTTTATGACAGCCCTTCTCTCAGCAGCACCCAATTAAGATACGTGCAAGTTGATCTTGGATGATCTGCAACCACAGCTCGCCAGATGGGCAGCTGGCAGTGATCTGTCAAAAACTGGGACATCAGGAAATGGGTGGATCTTAATATCAAAATAAGGAGTTTGCAAGCTGCTCTCCTGACAGTTATTTATTTTCCTATTAAACTCATCAATATCTTCTGGTTTTGGCCTGGTTTCCCAAAAGAAACAATCCCCTGCAGTCAGCCTTGCCTCCCCCAGCAACACCAGAACTCGCTAGTGAATTTTAATATGATTGGACAAAAGGCCAGAGGTCTCTTAGAGGTTAGGCTCTTCTATCTTTTCTGAAAATTAAAGGCTTGGCAAAAGAAAGCAACTTCACTGTTGATCCACTGGGAGAAGGAAAAAAAAGCTGTTTGGTGGGAGTTGCCTGGGCAGTGGGAAAGGAGACTTTGATACCTCCGTGTTTCTCACAGCAACTTGTTTAAAAAAAGTTGTTACCACATTTCCCACATGGCATCTAGGGGGGTCCAGAAATGCCAGGATTGGGATGCTCTTCTAAGTTTAGTCTAGGTAGGTGAAATCTAGAGTATAACTGACAGCAAAGGTATAAAAGTGAGCCCAAACAAACATGGTGTGATAATGCCTGTCTGTACCTGGAAACAGAGTCACTTCTGGCAGTGATTTTGTATCTTACAGTTTAAAATTCTTTAAGGGAGACTTCATATTTTTAAATGCAACTCTTGCCTAGTCTCTGAAGTTCAGACTACTGTGAATTATACCAAGCAGGGCTCATCCAAAGCTTCTGGACAACTTGGAAAATTCTTTATTTTTCTGCCAGCTGTTGCAGGAAGCATTAGAGATGCTGCTGGTTAGGTTAGGTTGGGCCAATCTCAGCAAGTTTGGCATTTCCCTCCAGTATGGATGAGAAGTGGAAGAAGGTCCTGGTTCTTCTGTTCAAAGCAGCATACCTATTTTTATCCGTTCCTCTTTTTTTGGGCATGCCCAGCTTGGTGCTACTCCAGCAGTTGGTCATTACAGGGTTTCCCTATGCACAGATCTTGCTGCTGGAGCATAAAACTCTGTAATAGTGTAGCTCACTGAGCCTTACTCCTTCTTGCTAACTGATTTTTCGTCTTGCAGGGATGACAGCAATCCCATGTGCATGTCTGGGCATATTCCTGGGTGGCCTCTTGGTGAAGAAGCTCAGCCTGTCTGCTCTGGGAGCCATCAGGATGGCCATGCTGGTGAACCTGGTGTCCACAGCTTGCTACGTGTCTTTCCTGTTCCTGGGATGTGACACAGGACCTGTGGCAGGGGTTACTGTTCCCTATGGAAACAAGTGAGTCCCCAGACAGTTTCAAGGTCTTACAGAGCTTTACCAACATAAATCCACGTTATTGTCCTCAACAGGCAGTGCTGGCCCTCAGACAAACACAGAGCAAGCATGTAGAAGGCAGTGTGATATAGGGCTCTTACTTTGGGATGTTTCCATGCCACTCATTGCTGTGAGAGTTGAGTACCTGCAGCTGACAACAGTTTTACTAAAATCGGTCTAACTGAATCAAAAGGTGCCAGACCTGCTTCTGTGCCCTTGGCCACCTGTGTAGCACTTGGTCCATCACACCCTCTGGTTTCCCCTGGCAGTGAGGGACATGCAGTGCTTTGTACGTTGATTTAAATGCCCGAGGGAAATTTGTAGAATCAGGTTTTAGATGCCTGGAAATACAGATATGGTGAAGAGAGACTGTTTGTGGCTCCAGGTCTACTTTAATGTGAGAAATGAGGCCTGTGGTGCCCTGTAGCACTCACAGGATTTGGAGAGAGTCATTCTGTGTTTTCTTTTCGAGTGCTCCTCAGTATGCAGTGGCGACTCTTTAGAAGATGAAAACTTCAGCCTCTCACCTCCTCACAGTATTATAGAAAAATATAGAGCAATCTCTAGATCATCTCTTTGGGCTTCCCTGGGGCTTCTCATTGGGGTAACAAGGCAGCTGAAGCCTTGCATTAGATTCCCTGTTGCAGAGGGATAGTGACCATGGCATTTCAGTCCCCAGGGAGAGGCTGTAGCCTGGATTTCTTAAAGCTGGAACCCAGCTAGCCTGCCCACTGCTTTTTTGTAATGTGTTTGTCTTAACTACCCCCTCAAAGCCGTCTTTGTGAAGCAGCAATTGAAAAAGCTGGCTGATATCATCACACTGTCCATTAATTTCTCTTTTTGTTTCTCTTACAGCTCAACTCCAACCTCATCTCTGGACCCATATTCCCCCTGCAATAACAACTGTGAATGCCAAACTGATTCCTTCACTCCAGTCTGTGGGGCAGACGGGGTCACATACTTATCTGCCTGCTTTGCTGGCTGCAGCAGCACGGTGAGTGGGCTTTCCTCGGGACCTCTCGCCCGTAGGAACAATTCTGAGAGCTCAAGTGAGCGAGGTTATTGCGTACCTGGTAGAGTAGCTCACCCACAGCCAGCAGTGGTTACACCCTCAATAGCTGACCTCACACCTCAGGTGGGCATGAACCCTGGTCGTTTCTCACTCTGTTGCAATAAATGTCCACTCTCTCTGGCAGCAGTCTGCCAGGGTTACTCATGGAGCAGGATGGAATTTCACAACCTTCTCCTCCTCCTCTGGTCTTTCTCCTCAGCATGGAAGCAAGGAACATGGAGATCTGTGCAGTTGTCCAGTGGCAGAACCCAGATTCTCTGTGAGAGCTTCCTGGCCCAGGCCGTGGGACCAGCTTCTCTTTTGTCCTGCAGCTCCTCATCTCCCCTCTTCTCCACCTGCCCATGTTTGCCCTGCCCAATCCTTTTATTCTTTTTCCTCTTGCTCTTTCCCTGAATCTGGTTCCTAGACACCTACGAGCAGGTTCTGGTTTTATTCACTCTTTCTTAAGCTTTCCTTTCTTTCCTCTCACTTCTCTCTCTTTCCTTGATTTGCTCTGAGGCAGCAGCAAGAGCAGTTGTCAGGGGAGCAGAGGCTCCATCCAAAGGCATTCTGCATTTTTCAGTTCTCTATATCTAAGAGTTTATTTCCCTTAGAAAACTCCTAAAGACCAAACTATCTCTGTGTAAAGAAGATGTGGGGAATTTTTAACAGTATCTTAAAAGCCAGCTTTTTCATTTTTGCTGCTGAAATGTTAATGTCTTCTGGGTTAGGCTGAAAATGAGTGCCTGATGCTCCCGTGGGTGGGGACTGGTTGGATTCCTGCATCCTTGCTCCCTGCCTGGGGCCGTGCCAGGTATGGTGATCGCTGCAGCACTGCCTGTGTGGAATCTGTTGGAGGTCAGCCTGGTCACAGGGACTGTTTGTGGCAGCAGGGACATCAGCGATCACCACATGCAATCCCTTCATGGCTTCATCGTTGCTTTTTGAGGAGACATCAGACCTCCCATCCTGTGCTAAAGAGACAAAGCACATGCCAGTGCCACTGAGCAGAAGTGGGCACTCGCTGCTGGCAGTGCAGCCTCACCGCCCAGATCACCCGGGAGCTTGTCCTGCTTAAACCTCTTCTCTCCTCCCTTCCCTCTACAGCCTCAGAGATGCAGGCATCCCTTTGAGACACTACAGTTTCAAAGTGCTTTCAACAACCCCACAAGGATCTCCATGAATGTGTGACACATGTGAAGGTGTTACCTCCTGCCCTCTTCTTCCTCCTCCTCCCAATAAGTCAACACCTGGGGCGGCAGCAGGATGATTTGAACAAGAAGCCAGCTTGTTTTGAACACACAGAATTGTATCTCACCAGTTCACCAAGCCTTTAGCAAGAATACATCTAGTGTGGTCTGTGGCTGGAGTGTGGGAGTGACCTCCTCACTGTGCAGTTCAGGTCAAAGCTCTGGCTCCTCTGGAAGGAGCATGATAATGAAAATTCAGCTCTGCCCCTTCAGTCTGCAGCTGCCTGACCTTGTGCTCTGCAAGAGAAAACCTCTCAGCAAAAAACTCACTGTTCCTCACCCTCTCTCTTACTCATTCCCTCTTATTTTGCCTTTTCGTCATCATCCTGGAGTTCTTTTCATCGCTTTGTTTCTTTGCAGTAACTTTTTGAACACAAATTAGTGAAGCAATATAGTATCCTCTGGAAAAGGCATTATCAAGAATTATGGACCAGTTTGGCCATGCAATGGCCTTGAGGCAAAGCCAAATTGCCAGACCAAGTTTTAAACCCATAATCCAGGTAATGACCTGTCTAGAGGGTCTTGTGAATGTTATATGCTTGTGATGAGCCAAGGGTTGCTTTTTACTGGGACATAAAATTCTCTGAATGCTTTATTTAACTTTACTACATTGGATGTTTCTGACTGCCTTGCTCCACTTTTCCTCTGTGAACAATTTCTAAAAGTGATATGTAGCTCAGTTAGTTTTTTCTTTTTCATTTCTTCTCTCTTACTGAGCTGGTTCCAGAGGTGCACCTGTCTAAAAGGCCATAGGAATATCAGTGCTCATAGGCAGAGCTCTGGCAACCTCAGGAATGTTTCTTTCAAGCCATTCCTGGGAGTGACGCTTGCATCTTCCTTGCTGGATGCCATTGATCCTCTCAGCCTTTTGGTTGGAGACACACGAATTCCAGCCTGGCATTACTGTGCTGACACCTCACAGCTTTGCATTGAAGTACCAGCCTGTCCCTTCCCTGTCATAGGCAGGGCTTAAGGAATGAGTAATTAAAAACATGCAATTTGCATAGATAATCATGCATGCTGTTAAAGGTGTAAACTCTGCATCTGTGTAGCCTCACGTGCACGCAGAGATCTGGGTGTGCAAGCAGCTGGGCTGCAGAGGGTTGTGATAACATATGATTGAATGCAGTGGGGTTGCAGACAAGGGGATCTATAGCAATTTTGGCACAGGTAGCAAAAAGTTGCCTCTCCACAGGACAAAGTTATAACTCCATCTTTGATGTTTCCTTGTTTGATGTCTGTGGGTTGTATAGTGTGTGAGTAATAAAAGATCAAAGATCTCCCAGGTAAGGATGAGGTGCAGTGCTAAGGAAGCAGATGTAGTTGGTTCAAACTACTGGCACTGCTTCGGGCCAGCACCTTGATGCAAAATTGTTGAAAAAGTGGATCGAGAGGCAAATTTTCAGGCAATGCAGGTGGGGATCTGCCTTGTGGTTTGTAAAAAATCACACCAATGGGAGGACAATCTGCCCCACCATTGCCAGAAACAGATACTTTCTGTCCCTTGATAAGAACCCGTGGAAAATAAGCACCCAGTTGTGCATGTTTGCTGTGATAGGAATTTTGTCCCAGGATTTTTCAGTGCAGGTATATATTTTTCTAGACTTAGATGGGTTTTGATCCACGGGCCTGAGTCCCGGTTGGTGGCAAGCAATGCACTGCAGATAAACCCAGGACCTACCAATTCCTATTGTCTGTGCAAACACCACATCAGTGGTGCTAATTGTCACCATTCTGAAGCCTTCAGGTGTCAGCTTCGAACTCACAGCACAGGAATTTGTTATGTTAATTACTGCTTGCTAGCCGGAAAGTCACTTCATGTCTGCTCCGGCTCTCCTGGAGTTTCTGCACAGCGGTCTCTCTTGCCCTCTATGCACTTAGTTGGAAGAAAATCATTTGACTCCTAAGCAGAAGAAAGAGATTGGTGTCAGAAAGGTTGGAGTGGTATCCTTGCCGATCCTTATCTTAGGAGGCAGTGAGCCAGTAAGTGTGCTTTTGTATGGTCCTAAGGGAACCCCCTTTGCTGAAAAGCAAAGGAATTTCTGCTCAAACATGGTAGAGGGAAAGGGGAGGGTATTTAGCTGGTTTTCAATATGTTTTTTTTTATGGTGTTACTCCTCATACAAGCATGTGAGCTGCAAACCCAGCGGGCTGATGAAGAAAAACCATGAATCATTTATGACCGTTTCATTCTGTCTTCGTTAAGGGATTTCTTCGTGGTATTGTGCGCCTTAATTGCACTGCCATCCCCCACTCAGAAATTCAGGAGGGCGACTTTGAAAATAGGGGAAAAAAAAAAGTAAATCCTTAAATCTGTGACTGGCAAACAAAGCTTCTTTTCACATCCTGCACTTGCTGGGAGAGATCAAAGCAAAATGCAGCCATTCCACCCTCCTTCTGATCACATATTGATAAAGTTTATCTCGCTTGACTTCAGCTCAACACAAATCCCTCTGAACCAGATGTCATTTATTAGCCCTGGAGTGCTTTATTAGCCCTGCAGTGTCTGTGGTGCCAAGTGGTGGTAGTTCAGCCCTCAGTGAGCTGCAGCACCAACCTTGGGTGGCTCCTTCCCAGGATTCAGGGTGTTGGAAGCAGGCACCAAACCTGCAGCCAAGAACAGGGCTGCAGATTTACCTGCATTTAACGTACTTCAGTTTAATTGCAACAGCCAAGAGGACGGAAGTAAATAAGCAAGTAATTAGAACCATAATTGGGGGATCTTGCTTGTCGCAGAGACACAGATTGTTTCTTTATTCCCCTCCAAAGAGGTATAACTTGGTAATAATTTTGTTGCAGTGACATTTATGGGAGAGACTTGAAAGGAGGAGAAGAAAAGAAACAAGCCAAGGGACAGCTTTCCCTTGCTGGTAGCATACAGTCAGAGCTGGCACTCCTGAAATTCTTTCCAAACCCCCTCCAAACAAGCACTTAGGAGTCACTTAATTGACCATTAGAGGATTAGGAGTTGCTGTTGACAAGCCCCCATTACAGAGGTCAGTGGTGGGGATCACAGCTCTCTTTTCTCTCCCTGTGCTCTTCTGCAGAACCTCAGTGGCTGTTCGTGCCTCACCTCGGTCCCTGCCGAAAATGCCACCGTGGTTCCTGGCAAATGCCCCAGCCCCGGCTGCGAAGAGGCCTTCCTGACATTCCTGTGCGTGATGTGTGTTTGCAGCATGATCGGGGCCATGGCACAGACACCATCAGTCATCATCCTCATCAGGTAGGACCACGGCCGGGGAACCGGTGATCCCCGAGGGGCTGCTCGGGAGTGGGAGCAGGGCTGGAGGGGCCATGGGAACCGCTGGGATCTGCAGGGAGCTGAGGGTCCCATACAGCCTGGAGACCGCAGAAACCACGGAGAAGTGAAAAGCCGTGGCAAAGGCTAGTTTTGGTCAATACCCACCTGTCCAGAGTTTTAACTTCTCTCGCTCTGGACCAACTCCAAGGACATAAAGAACTTGGAAGTCTGAAGGACATGTCTTGGGTTAAGCCAATGTGAATAGGTGGGCAAAAGTAGCTTACTCAAATAACTGACCTTGTGTTATTTCCAGACACTTCACCTTATGATATACATATATATCTAAGCCCACATTTATCCAGAATTACTTAGCTGTCCAGGCTGTCACTTACTGAGAATAATAACCAGAGGCATAAATAGCAGATCCATTCTGCTGCCTGGAAAATTCCAATAAAATTCAATCAATAAGGTCTGTATTAGAAACACACTCTTGAGTGGATTTTGGACAGAACAGCTCTGTGAGGGCATGTCTCCCTGCAGGATACAAAATGAGATATTCCACCTACTAGTTCGCTTCTCTCTTTGCATCTCTGGTAGCTGAAGGGAAATCAAATTTCTCATGATAAATATTGTGGCAGAAGTAATTTGAAGTTTGAAGAGTTCTTTGTTCAGGGAAGCTGCCAGCACCTTTAGGATCCTGCATGGAGACATCTTAGTGTTGCCTTCAAATGAGATAAGCCTGGCACCAGCCAGGAAGAAGAATGTAAGGGAATAAAAAAACTGAAGGGAATATTAAACATACTCAGTTCACAGCTGTAGGAAATAAACAATTCACACATCCAGATTAGTAACTTCACTCAGAGTCACTGATAGCTACCAAAAGGTACAGGGAAGAACTCTTAACCAAGAGAGCACTTCTTGCATCGCCTAAAGGAAGTTTTGATGTATGCATGTGTCCCTGGTGTCCAGGGCAGGACAAGTGGCATTGGCAGCTTCTGTGGTTATTTAAAAATGAACTCATTGTATACAAATTAGATGCCTTGTCTGGGCAAGTCATTTGTTCACAGGAGAAGGCACCTTTTTTGCCTCCACTCTAAGGCATGGGGGTTGACTTTGGTATTAAATACAGAAAAGTGAATGGAAGGACACCACCACCAATTAAAAATCCACTGTGAATATTTCACAGGATAATTTATTTTTTCCATAAAATAAACTTTTAATACTCCATTTCCTTCATTTCCCACCCAACTGTAGAATCCTATTTGAGCCAAGCCATTAACCACTGGAACGTTTTTCCAAGGTCAGATATTTCCTGGCATAAAGGCTTTCTATAGAGCCTGGGGGTCTGCCTGAAAACTGCTGAAATTCATCCAGAGGTCACAGGCTTCATGCAGGAGTCATGGTATGGTGTTATGTGGCCTGTGAATGTGTGAAAGGAGGGCAAGTGATCAGAAGGATCTCCTCCTAACTTAAAAGCACTTGGCTGTTTCTAACTGTTTTATCAGTTTTGTCTGATACCCCTACAGTGTATTTATATAGTGGACACCTCTGCCACCATGGATGCCACTAGAGTGATGCCTGCAGACCTCTGTAAGGACCTAATGGACGAGGCAGCTTAAACCTTTGAAGTTCCCCTGCGTGATGAATCTCTTCCCATGGGGATCACTGTCCTGCTTTCCCAGCCTTTATAATCTGTAGGAAATAAAATGCTATTATAAGACTCAAGACCAAATTAATGGCTTCTAAAGTTCCAAAGGCTTTGCTGAGCCTTCCCCAAGAGGATGATGCCAGTAGCATCCTTGAGCTGAGCAAATTAGAAAGCTGTGGATGGTTTTTTTAAAGCGCCTTCAAAGGATAACCCTAATACAATAGTGAGTTGTGTTCGTAGCAAAAGACACTGCAAACACACTGTTTTCCCAGTATAAAAAAAAAAAAAAATTGCATGCTAAACTCACACCCATGAAAACTAGTCTTGAGCACTTCCTCACTGGAAGACTTGAATTAACAGGCTGACTGAACCTTTTGGTCTGTCATCCTCCCTTTCCTCTCTTGTTCCCGGTAGTCTGGGGAGTTTCAGAACCAAAAGTTTTCTCTCCCTCCAATTTTGAACATCTGGAGCCTTGAAAACATGACGGGGAGCTTGTAAACAATGATTTAATGGGATGGGAATTACATTTTTCCCCATCCAATGACAAGATTAGCTGCTGTTATTAATGACTTAGCTAATTCCTGAACCTATCACATATGCAATTACTTTTGGGGCTGTAGGCAGTTCGGGCAAAGGCAGAAGAAAAACCCCATTAATGACTTTTTGAAAAGGTGGTGGTGGCATCCTGGCTGACAGCACAGAATGGCCAGGGGGTGTGTTAATCAAAGCAGAACAACAGGAATTGATTTCACTCTCTCCCTTCCTTCTCCCTGCAGAACCGTGAGCCCCGAACTCAAATCTTATGCTCTGGGGGTGCTTTTCCTGCTGCTCCGGTTGCTGGGTAGGTACAAAAATTGGATGTCCTTTTCTCCCATCCTTTCCTCCCTCATGGTAAACTCTATGTTTAACATGCAGAAGTTCATTTCTATTCCATGTAGTACTGTGGTTGTCGTCAGTGTGGTCTGACACACTGGGGTGCAAGCCCTCTCCGTGAAGGATATCACGTCAAGGCTCCTGAAGGCACTTTTCCTGCCATTTGTATTGTACTAATGGAAGAAAATGCAGTGTTGCATGAGAAATGACTGTTTCTCCCATGGTCCCACACAAACAGTTTCTCTTCTATAGCTGTTATTAACGTGTCAGCAGCTTGCAAAATTACTGCTGTATTGCATATTGCTGAAGTAGAGGGATATGTATTTTCACTCTCCTTTGAGGGACAGGACCTGCGTTACGTGGTGTTTTTGTCCCTTCCTTCAGGTCTCTCGGAAACAAAAACAGAAAAATGAGACAGGCTGAGTCCTTGTATCCTCCTGTGGGTTAATACCCCATTAAAATGCATATGGTTGCTCCTCTGGACCAGTATGTGCTTCTCATGTATGAATTAAAAGGAACACACCAGGCTGTTGTTTGCCTGCTGTTTGTTTCTGGGTGGAATTTTTTTTTCCCCTTTGGAAGAGATGGCTCCTATTTTAAAGCTCTTCCATTTCAGCTCGTTGATCTCAATGATTCCGGACAAAATCCTCTGATCCATCATTGTGTGGGACCTTCTCATGCCCAGGGTTTCTGCATGTTGTGGGAGTGGAATTTACTTTTTTTTAACAGCATCTTCCCTGCATGGCTCCCCCAGTCCCAAAGGAATGAGCAAAGTGCCATCACTGAGGCTACAGCAAGACACTGGGAAGTACAGGACTGAAAACCCAGCAGTACCATACTTTGCTTTGAATAAATTACCTCATTTATTTACTTACTTTTTTAACACCTTATTCCCCATTAGCTGAAGGGGAAATGGTGCTCTCAGACCAACTTACAGTACAGCCGATTAGATTTTCATTGTTTTTGGTGAAGTAGCTGCAGTGATACAAAAAGCTCCATCAAGTAAACTTATCCAGAGCTCAGATAACTCAAAGAGAAGCTTCTGGGATGACTTGGGTCAGCTCTGTTTCAAGCTTTGCAAACACAGCATTTTCTTTAGCTGCTGGTGCTGCTCGTGGGTTTTGACCTGTCTTCAGCGCTGACTGGCTGAATGTGGAAAGTCAGCAGGCAAGCGTGGGAGGAAGATGGCTGTGGGCTGTTGTTTCCAAAGCAAAAAGTACTTAAGGGGAGAGATTATTCTCTTTTCTGCGTTCCTTTTGAAAGAGAGAAACCTGCTGAGATAGCAGCATCCTGAATTCTGCTAAAACCAGGCTCAAACATATATGCTTAAGTTGAACAGATTTCTTCTTTTCGTAACAGTAAAGAAGCCATAGTAAGAATTTAAACTCAAATCTTTATATGTTGCTCTGTCACTAAGGGATTCCCATAAAATAAGAATACATCCTGAAGCATATCAGCAGTGTAGTTTAGAACACACAGAAAATGAAGAGAAAGGTACTTTTCAATATGAGCAAGGGTATCCAAATTGTGCCCTTAACAACCTGAGGTTTGAGAATAGCTTTACTGATTTATTTTAAAAGCTTTTCAGTTCACCTTTAAGCTTTGACTTAAGGAGACAGTGATGATAGCTGTTTCTTGAACCAAAGGAGAGTATTAAATACAGGAGGTATGAGACCCAAAGGTGCAATCGTAGCTAATAGATTTCAATAAGACAGAAGCAGCTTTTTTATGCAGCCCTACAGTTTTGGCAAAGAAATATATATATATATATGAAATTTTTGTATCACTTTGCAGTAAGAGGTAAAACATGATTGACTCTCTTTAATATTCACTATAATAACATGAAACATGACTGAATTCTCCTGGTATCCTCCTGCATGTGTTATATTATTTCATAGGAATTCTGCTGTGAGAGGGCAGTGGAACAATGTCTTCATATAAAAGCACTACTGCAGTTTCTCAGAGAAGAGAGTAAGTAAAGCAGTGCCATTGGAGCCAAAGGTGTGGAATGGAATTGTCTGGAATGGCAAGGAGTTTCAGACTTGTAAGATCCTGGATGCATCCTTTCTGGATGGTGTTCATCATGCATCCTAGTAAAACCTCCGCTTACCAGGGCACTTCCTTTGATTTTTTCCTATATGCCCATGTTGTTGTTTTCCTCTTCTTCTAACATGACAAAACCCCAGGAGTTTCAGGAGTTTCTAATCTGCAGTGCAACCCCTTAGCTCCCTTGTCTTAGGGAGTCTTGCCCTCTCCTCTGCTAAAACCAACCCGAAACACTCAGTGGTTGCTAAAAGTTTTCCATATCCACATCCATGCCTGCATTCACAGAGGAGTAGCTTTGGAGTTCTGTGAAAACAGGCCCTTCCTCAAGTCTTATGAGGAGCAGTTTCCTGGCCAAACTATTGTGGGAAGCAGGCAAGCCAGCTGAAGCCAGCAGATAGGAATGGTAGCACTCTCTGAAGTTCAGCCTGTACATCTCCAAAGCTTTATATCAACCCCTCTCAGCATGTTAACAGGGAGGCGCTCACACCTCAAATTATCATCCCAATCCGGTTTTCTCTTGTTCCAGAAAGCAGGAAGCTCCTCCCTGCCACGTCTGGATGTTACCCCCTGAGGTGCCATCCAGCAGCACAGTTTGTGGGCACACAAACTGCAGTCAGCAGCACATCCTCTTGCTTACCTGTGGCAGAAGCCCAGCTGCATTTTTAAAATCCGGGTTCAGTGTGTGCTTGTTCACAGGTTTCAACAATAGAAGAATCTTTTAACTTAGAAGCAGAACCAGCCCAGTCTGTAATTTCCAGTCATTGAAATGACAAACTGAGAGCTAGCACTGACATTTTTTTTCAGAACATAACCAGGTTTTTAGATGTGATGTTTAGAAACTAGTGTTTCTAACAAGCAGATTGTCTTGCTTTCGTATCATCTGGTTTTATTTACTACATTTGTGCTGTTAATGACTGGTTAAAATGAGTACCAAAAGCCCATATAGCCTTTCTTAATTCCTGCATTTATTAACATAGAAAGAAGATCAAACAAAATCTGCAGAGCTCTAGTCATCAACAAAATAAAATAAAAAGATCTTAGTTACCACAGGGAACAGTGAAGACAACCAATTTATTTGTAGTCTTAGGATACACGTCATGAATGTCACTACTTTGCTCGTGACAAGCTGAAGGAAGGTATCTTTTTTAAGCCTGGAAATCCAGGTTAATGATGAAACTGGATCCAAGATTAAACACTTTCCTGTCTAAAAAACTGCACTCCTTGTGTCTGTTTTCACATATATTTATAGAGCCTCAGGCATCACAGCACCTATGGAGGAAGTGATACCATCAGGGGTATGTTGTGCCTACCTGCTGTTGGATTTCAGTAGATACATTGCTCTCCTTTGCTTGCTGTCTTAACCCACAGCAGTGACTTTATCAATCAGGGTCTTTTCCCAAGGGTTATCTGCTTCCAGCCTCCCCCCCATAAATACAGCAGAAGGAAGAGAAATTATTACATTATGTAGAACGTTCACATTTTCTTCTGAGTGCTGCACTCCTGGTGCACATGTGCTGGCTGGGGAGTGCAGAGCTGGAGTGTGGATGTACTAATCACCATCAGGGTAATGTGAAATGGGGGGGGCCTGCTACAGTGTCCCTGCAGGATGGAGAAAAGTAGAGAAGAAAAACATTGGCTTTATTAGTTAAATGAGATTGGAGTGATTACTCTGCTTTAAGATTGCAGCTCTGCTGCAAGCTATGATTGAGAAACACTCATTGGTAGTTAGCTGCAGTGGCTGTGGGAGAATCCTGCTGTGATATTTCATTTAATGGCGCTCTGAAATTTTCCCTTCATTGCAGAATGCATCTCTGATGTCTTTCAGAGGTCGTTGTTTCTTTTCCTTAGACCCAGAGAAAACCTTTTGCTGTGTCAGGGAAAGGTCCAACACTCTGTGTCCCAGCTGATTTCAGGCTCTGAACTGGAGAGCTGTGGTGTCCTTTAGGTGAACATCCTAAAATGCAGAGTTGCCAGTGTCTAAACAGAGAGCAACCTGCAAGGCTGTCCTCCTCCTCTTTCATTTACCCCTCTCAGTCTCATTAGGCAAACGAGAAGCTTGATAAAAGCCACTTAAACTTGACTAAAATCCTTGCTGCATGTTGATATCAGCAGGAATTCTTCCGTAGACATTGAGTCCAAGCTAAAAACTGATCCACAGACTTGGTTTAGGTTGATTTAGAACTTTAAAAATTGAAATCACAGGCTGCAGCTGGGACCATTAACCTTGATAAAGTGCCCTCTTTCCCTTCACTGCAGTCACGTCCTCTCTCTTTATCATAAGGATCATAAAAGCATAATTTGTCTCTCTTATTTTGACAGGTTTTATCCCACCTCCACTGATCTTTGGGGCTGGAATCGACTCCACGTGTCTGTTCTGGAGCACGTTCTGCGGCGAGCAAGGAGCCTGCGCCCTGTACGACAACGTGGTCTATAGATACCTGTATGTTAGTATTGCTATAGCCCTGAAGTCTTTTGCATTCATCTTATACACAACCACCTGGCAGTGCTTGAGGAAAAACTATAAAAGATACATCAAGAACCACGAAGGTGGTCTCAGCACTAGTGAGTTTTTTGCCTCTACTCTCACCCTAGACAATCTGGGGCGGGACTCGGTGCCCCAAAATCAACCACATAGGACAAAATTTATCTATAACCTCGAAGATCATGAGTGGTGTGAAAACATGGAGTCTGTTTTATAGTGACTGTGGAGGGGTGAACTATATTAATAATACAAGGGTCCTTTTTAATAAAAACAAGGAGAGAGCACGAATGAAGATACACAACTGCAAAACAACAGCGGCAACACAGGAAACTTTTTGTCTTTTTCTCAAAGTCAGACCCAGCCATGATTCTTGAGAACAGCATCTTCTGATGGGATCGCTTGTGACATCCTGCAGGGTGATGGAGAAAGCAGGGAGCCATTTGTGGCTTGGTACCAGCCCCCTTGATGACAGTACGAGCTCCCAAGGAGGGCATCTGCAGAGGTTCACTGGAGAGCTCGGCACACGGACAGGCTTGGGCATGAGGCGTAGAGAAAGCGAGGTGATGATGGCAATAGGTGTTTGCAGTTGCAAACGGGGTCCTGGGGGTGTGTGGAGCCCCCACAGCGTGGGCTGAAGGGTTGGCCAGTCTGGGTGCTGCTGCTCAAACCTGCTGTGCTCTGCAGTGGCAAAGAGGGAGCGATGCTGGATTCATTCCACCAGTCACACTCTGTCACCAGCCACGAGTCCACGATAAATACCTTGAAAGCTGCTGGAAACCTTCCCGGTGGCGAGCAATGCTGTCAGGGGTATCCAAGTCCTTCCAGCCCAGGCTTATTCGCAGATTGCAGCTCTGTGGCTGTCTGTGAATAGCTGCGCTCAGATCTCAAACCCAGTAGAGTTCAAGACATTTGCTCACACTTGCCAAACGTGCTGTCATTTTTAAAGGGGGATGAGTTCCAAATACTTATCTGTGTAGTCCTCTAATAAGATGTTTTTTAAAATTACTTTCAGATCTATGTTAACCCTTAAATGGCTGACACTTTTCCATAGGGAGGATTTATTTATGCTAGTTTGGGGAAGGATCCTGTTTAATTCACCCAAACGTAATGTGACTCAAGGGGTTTGTTTAATCCTCTGCGTTTTTTATCCATACGCCTTCATTCTAATATGCTACCAAGCCAATGAAGACACATAATATGTTTTTAAAAAAGAGAACGAATGCACTGTGTCTCTCTATAAAAACAATTGTCAGTTGGAGAATTATAGATAATATGATGATTTACATAATATAGTTTTTTCATATTCTATGTGACTCAGTGAATACATATATATGTGGAGAGGCTGTTTATGTTCTCTCCGGTTTTTAAAGATATATATATATATATATATAATTTGCAATCTAGAAATTGTGTGGTGGATGTTTTCTTTAAAGTGTGTGTGTGTTTGTGTGTGTACAAGATGAGAGGAATACTGACCTTAATCCTTTAACCCTCACAACTGGCATTTTATTTTCCACCTGAGAAATTCTACTGATTTCAGTGGAAGCCGTGTGAGGAAGACGTAATAACTTCCCCTCCTGGACGCCACGTTTTGCCCTTAGATGTGGAAATAGTGTTCCTCTGGAAGGCTGGGTTATGGGAGCAGAGGCTGGCCAGCATTGAGCAGCTCAAACTTTCATTCAGCTCCCTGGGAAGCATCCCTGCAGGAGCAGATTCAGCTTTGCTCTTACAATGCAGTCCTACCTAAGCCTGTAAAAATCACGGGGGAGCTTTCATCTGATTACAAGAAGCGTGGGGGTCAGGCTTATTTTGTTTGCATATTTTTGTTTTCCAAAACATTCCTGCTGGGAAGCAATACAAATTGGTGGTGTCTGATGAATCTTTCCCCAGGAACCAGGCCCACTTCCAATGGACTAAATGTCAGAAGGGTTTTAAGGGTTAGCATCGTAACAAAGAGCTCTTTTTTTTTGTTTGAATTTTGAAGCTGTTGTGAACTTGAGGATGTTTAGAAAAAGTATCCTGGCACGTTGAGTCAAATGCTGGAGGTCACTTCCATGCAGCTGGTGAAGGGGCCGATCTTCCCCAAGTCCTTATCCATTGCTGGCAGTGGACACACCAGACCTGGCACGATTACAGAGGGTTGATAACTTGCCACTCATGTTCAACACCTTTTTAGCAGACTTTACTTTTATCTAGGCATTGCAACATGGGTGTGGGGTATCAAACTGCTTCCACTTGACTGACTTTACATGTGTCTTTGTAATTTATGCACAGCATTATATGTTCAGCAACAATAAGGGCAGGAAAAAAAGGGTGTATCAAATAAACTCCACTGTGCCAAATACTCCACAAATATTGTAACTGCAGATATTTGATTCTTGGGTTTCAGCCATGTTAAGAATCACTTGATTAATGAAGGAGTTTAAGGAAAAAAAAAGGTTATTAAGCTATGCAGTGCCATTGTTACGCTGGGTGGTAAATGATGCTTTTTAGATCATTAGGTTGGTTTAGTATATCCTGTCTGCTAAAATAGAGATACTGCATCCATAAAACAATGAATTTACAAAAGGCACTGGGTGCATAACGGTCTCATAGAATATATATAATTGTCAAGTATAAGCCTTTGAAATCATTCTGTACAGTTCTCTTCATTCTGCAGATTTATTACTTAGACTGCTGTCTTTTCAAATGTTAGCTCATAATTTTATACTATACACACACATTCAGACTCAGAACACAAATGTCACGGAATAGAACCTTTCTAAAAGCCTGATTGCTTGAAATTCCATAACCCCTTTCACAGTTTCATGATTTTCCCCTCTGAAAGTCTAAGGTGAAGGAGAATAGCACAGTGACATGATGCAAACAAAACAAACTCCCAGTGTTCACAGGCTGTGGTTTGTCGGTACAGTCAAAAGTCCCCCTTGACCAGAGTTATAGAAACAGGATTCCAGGGCACGTAATGGTTCAGTTTTTATTTTTGTTTATTTTTTTTCATTTGATCTCTTCTCTTAGTATGCATGGGGGATGCAGTTGAATGGGGTTACTTACATTATTTTTAAGCTCTAACTTGAAGTTCCTACGTGATTGTTATTTTATTTCTTTTGATAATGCAACTTTTGAAAAGCTTCCTCCCCATCCCACTCTTTTTTTTTTTTTTCAAGGTTGCATCCAATGCCTGCATCACGAAGGGCTTTGCTGTCAGTACTTTGGTATAGATTTAAGAACAGAGCTTTAGCTTAAAGAAAATACACAGACCAAAAGCTTCATCCATCCCAGCAGGCATTTTGGGTTTTTTTCTGATTTCAAAACCACAAGCCAGTTTTTCCTGCACCGCAGTTTTTGTTATAGAATAGCAAATTAATAGTGTCACATATCCTTCTGCTTCCCAAATTGCAAATATGGGCCTTTGCCTGTCAGCACTTGGCTTCCATCCCTCAACTGCCTTAACAGTGCAGGAGACTTAAGAGCAAGGATGGAGTTGGAATGGAATGGTGGAATTTTTTTCCCCATATTCACGGGGAATTGAAATTCAGGGGTTTGTTGAGACCTCAGTCTCAGCAGAAATGTTATTTTGACATTTCCAAGCACTGTGTTCCCTGTGTGGCTGCCTGCTAAGGAATGGGATTTTTGAAGAAATAAATTACTTGAGAATCCCAGTCCCTCTGGGATTACGCAGTGGCCTTGCATGACTTCAGGTTGGGGTTTCCTTTCCCTTGCACAGATCCCACCTTGGCATGGCCCTGGTGGAATCAGAAGGGCACCCCAATCTAAAATTGGTGCAGATGACATTAGAATCAGTTTCTTTCCACCCTTGTTAAAAAGGTGATGCATTTACAGAACCTTCTTTTTATACATACAGAAATCATCCACTTTCCTGACTTTGCCCAGCACATCTTGGATGTAGGATGGACCTGAAAAGGCCGTCACTTGAATTATCACTTGAATATCATAAACCTTCCATTCCTTGGGAATTCAGCTAACAGGGATCTCCCACTGCCATGCCCCTGCAAGGTCCCTTGAACTCCTCTGTGCTGCTACGGTTAATCTTGATTGGGTCTCACCTTGCTCAGAAGGTGAGAAGGGAAAGATGCAGAGAGGAATTAGCTTCCATTAGCTGACTTAGCTGTACTTCCAAATGCTTCTGAGTTGAACTGATGGTCTGCAGACATTTGGAAAGTGATTGGATTATTTCCAAATGGCTGAGATGCATTGGCTTATTTTTCCTTGGGGAAAAAAAAAAAAAGTTAAAATTAAGGGAATTAAAGAGATTTGGAGTCCCTCCTATCCCCATCAGAGTTTTATGTTCATCACATTGCTGTTGGAGGCAACGTACTTAAGGTTCACCTTTGTGTCTCAGATAGACACACTTTTTCTCTCAGTAAATGTGGTCCTAGGACACAGAAAGGTGACTCCATCTCAAAACCAGCAGTTTTACCCCAAAGCAAACTTAAGACAACCTAAAGGCTACCAGCACTGCTAACCTAAAGGCTACCAGCTAAAGCTACAAGCTTTAGCTGCCAGTCCAGCCGTGGCTGTTGCTGCTCAGTCACAGCTCAGTGTGCTGGGCCTGGTATTTTCTTAAGACTTAGACATTCTTGGTTTGATGTTCATTTTATTCCTGGCAGGTGATGTGGGGAATTGTCAGTATAAAACATACATGCAAATGCTTCACTGGACTGATGTGATAACAGCTTTGTCTCTTTATTGACAAGGGTTTCCAGACTTATTCCTGCTCTGCCTTTAGACACAGCCATGCTCATCTATCCCCCTAATTTCATGTGAATGTGTTTGCAGACAGAAGCAGGTTTGTTCTTGTTCTCTCTCTAGATCTGATTAATGCATGCAAAGCTCACAGGCTTTCTGTGCACAGGGCAGAGCACCCCTGTGTATAAGCAATAATACTGACCTCCCATCTGCATTGGGAGTTCTGGCTTTTCTGACCTAAATCTGAGTTCACCTCTCCCAGTATCCCATAGTGCTGCTGGGACTCACCTGTTTTGTTGGAAGCAACTCCAGGAGACAGGCAACCAAGACACAATTGGTGGGAACAGAGGCAGCAGTTTATTAATATGGACAGTCATATGGTGGGAGCCTTTGGTGTGAGCCAGGCTCAGCTGTGGTTATCCGATGGTTGAGATTGATCCGAGTAGGAAAGGACATTGTAACTGAGCCCTTCAGTGTCCCTGAAAGGATTATCCACCCTTCTGTGCTCCTGGATAGTCCTACCTCCCCCAGACCCATTTCTTCCTTTCTCCAGCCACAGTTCTTCCTTCCCCCTGCTGGCAAACCACAGCTCAGCAATACCAAGTCAATACAAGGCATTCAGAGTTACTGGCTGGCATTTACATTTGCCTGGGATGCCAGCGGGTCTCACTCAGTGTTACAGATGCTCAGAATATTATAGTTTGTTCTGCTTATATACACTAAATCTATTTCTTCTAGGCTGCAAATTATGTTTTCTATCATTCCATTGACATTTCTAGCCAATCTGAGTCTTAATACAATTGCTTTGCTGAAAAATGTCCTTTCAGCAGATCTTAGACATGAGGTACTTCTTTATTAACTAATGTTGCCAAGTAAAATCTTCGGCCATTGTCTGTTCCCTGGATCCAGTGGAGCAGGAGGAAGCTCTGCCTGCTCAGAAGCAATACTGGTATTTTCTGTGGCAGAGTATGAACCTGGACAGCTTTTCTTTGAGCTTTAGTCTCGTCACAGCTGCTCGTCTATGGGCATCCCTTGGTCCCAAAAGGACACAGGGAATTCAGGAGAGGCCACATGGACAGAGGAATCCATTTGGATGGCTGCACGAGTAGGACTGTAGGATGTTTGTATTGTTCATGCTGTTCTGTTTGTCAGAACCTTGCTTCAGTCCCTGTTTGTTTGATGAATGGAGTGACCCCAGGGATGGGGTCTTTGGAGTACAATGAATTTGTGATATTTAACCCACTTTATTCAGATTAAGTGTGGCAGAGAAGGCTGTCCCACCCTAGGAAGGAAAATATTAGCCATGCCCTGACAGTTTGTAGTGCTGGGCTTGTTCTACACAAAGCTGGTGTCTGCAAATGGCAGAAAGCAATAAGAAACTTGTCAGCTCCAACTCAGCAAATAATCTATAGCAACTTCATAAATGAATTTTCCCTTTTATTTCTTTCTTGTAAATTGCTGAGGGAACCAAGAAAATGCTTCCAAGTGTATTTGCAAGGTCGTTTCTGCATATCATCTGTGGTCTGGAGGGGTTGGAAAAGCTTTCTTGTAATTCATACACATTGGTTTGTTCTGGCTGCACATAGAAATCACACAGGATATTTCTGCTCCCTGAGTTCCCTATACAGGAATTTTCTCATCAGTACAAATGTTTAGTTCAAAAGTATGTGATTAGGAATTGAGTAAGAGGATCCTTGCTCAGTGCCAGTGGGCAGGGCGCCACTGGACGCACACTTGCTCCAGGACAGCAAGAGTGCTGGCTTCCAACTCACAGTCGCCTTTCCAGGAATATTCTCTCACAGATGCTTGAAATTCTCAGCCTTTCCTAATGTTCCTACCGGTTAACACATTCATTTGAGTAATTACTGAGAGCAAACACCAGAAGGGTATGAACCCAGATGAAACCAAATTGCTATTGAGGTGAAGCAGGTGGTGTAAATTTTATTTGCGATGTTTGCACAGCTCTTGGATCAGAAGCAAAAACCTCTTGGGAATTAAGAGAGTTGTATATGGCCTAACATCTTAGTTCTTCCCAACTGAATTGCCCATTGGTGGGACAGCAAAAGGCATCTTTCCCTGCCACATATATCTTAGCCCTTGAAGCCCCCTTTTTCTTTTGCAGTATGGCATCGCACAAATACCAGTGCATTTACTCCTCAGTGCTATGTTTTTGGTGCCTCACAACTCTTAACTGTGAACTTGAGGGGAAGAAATGACCCCTCTTCTTCGCCCACAATGCTTCCTGCCTGATCAGAGGAGGATGGTGATCCCCCTGGATGACTCACAGCTGTTTCCCTGAAGTCTTATCCAGCAGTGCTCTATGATTGCAGGTGGTGGCCTGTTCGCTGTGCTCAGGGGTCTGTAATTTATCTACAGCCCCACATTGCCTTCACTATGTTCTTGGTGCAAAGCACAGTGAGGAGGTTGTGCATGACTGCCCCCGACAGATGCTAAGGGCTGCTGGTGGTCTGGGACCACCAGGATTTGTGAGTCTCCATGTTAGCACATGAAAGCAGCTTCCCTCACCTACTTTTGGGAAGGAGCTGTCTCAGAGCAGGTTCAGTGGGAAGCTGGAGCTGCGCTTGGACCGCACAACAGAGGGGCTCTCCATTCACTTCGGTACCACATCTGTAGGGAGGAGGGGTGGAGAGAGAGCAGGGGAAGAGCTGTGACCTTTTAAAAACCCATAGTGCCTACCACTGCAAATGGAACGCTGTATTGTATTATATTATACGTGACTACCATGTAAATAAAGTACAATAAATGTGGTGTTCGTTAGGATTTTGATACAAGTCAAATGCAGTCTGCAGAAATGTTTTGGTTTTTTTTTCTCTGCTGTATGTACTTATATCACATTCCAGGCACGGGGACGTTTGGAGTTGTGTGAGCTAGCAATGCATAAATGGCATTAGATGGGGAATGTTTGCAGTAAGACTGTTTTAAAATTCCTTTTGCCCTGTATAGATGAGACCCAAGCACCATCTGAAAACCAGCCAGAAGGGAGGGAGTGGGGGCAGCTAAACAGGCAGGAGGAGAGCAGCTCGTGACGAGGTTTTGAGCAGAAGCAACCGCTGCCCATCCAGTCCTTAGCCATGCTTCATTCATGGTGGAGGGAAAGCAAAGTTTCAGTTTGGCTGATTTCTCCTTGGTTTGTTTTCCTGCTGCAGAGGCTGACCAGCAACATATGCCCTGCCTGTGTAACCTGGTCACCCCCCACCCCTGAGATCCCTTAGCAGCAGCTACAGCTGAGCAAACTTGACAGCTTAAAATTCAAAGCAGATTGAGAAAGAAGTTCTGTTCTTAACCAGTTGGCTCCTCTGTGTCTCTGGCAGAGATTGAGGAGCTTGTGTTTTTGGCTAATAAGAATATTAGGAACTTAACTTCGTTCCTTAACTCACTCCCTTCTCCATCCTTCTGTTTCTCTGTGCTGTAATAAATAACACATTTCTGAGAGGTCTGCCATGTGCCCTCCAAATCCTGATGAATCTCTTAACTGGTTTGGTGGTGGGAGTTTCTCCAGGCTTCAGAAGCTCAGGACTTCTCTGACAAGTGTTTGCAGCCAGTGTGTGGCTGTAATTTTCCATTGGTGCTTGGAGGATGCTTCCACACTGATCGTCTTGTTGGAGAACAAGAACACCCCATGCAGTTTGTCACACCTATGGCTCAAAACTCCCCTGCAGAGCTCTCTGCAGGGTCCACAACACTGGAGGAGTATCTACCTGCCTCTGTACCAGACCAGTCCGTGATGTTTGTCCCTCATACCATTGATGTCCTTTACAGTCACCTGGGCAGAGCAGCATCTGTGGGTGGTTGGTTGTGGAGAAGGTTCATCCTGCACAGCACATCTCCCACAGATTGTCTGTAGCAGCTTGTGTGGGAGCTGGATGAGCCCACGTGCCACTGCCCCTGCCTCACGCTGTGGGTTACTCTTTTCCTACAGTGCCCAAGGAAAAGAAGTCCTTAGAAAGGTCTTTGAAGTGTGCTGGTTTGACTGCTGGTAATTTTGCAGGTGTTTAGCAGCACTTCCAAACCAAACCAAAACCTGGTTTGGAAAAGGAAATGTTTCACTGTACAATTGATTTAAAGAAAAGAAAAAAAAAAAAAAAGAAAGAGAAACCACATGCTCGATATATTTTGAGTACTGTGTTCTGTATTTTTGCAGCTTATATTTTCCAGATGAGCAGTTTAGAAATAATGTGATGTGAAATACATACTGTAAGTTTGCTGTAAATTATATTAAAATCACTATTTTCATTCTTCTCCTGTCTCACTGGATGATGTCTTTGGTTCTCCCAGGTTGGCTGGCTGGGCTTGTATACTCAGATTGTCCCAGAAAGTTTTCGGTTTCAGTAAAAGCAGGATTGATAGTTCAGGTTGGAGGCTGGATGTTGAGGTTGAAAGTTTGCTGGAAATGACAGTGGGGGTGAACATGTTCCTATGCATGTGCAGTGCCTTCAGAGGAGAAGTCCTGCTGAAGAAGTGGTTGTGACAGATTTTTGGGAAAGGACAAGATGAAGTTTCAT